AATTATTGATCTTATCTACATGAATGACATATTTTAGTTTTATCTTTGAGATATTTTCATTGCCACACATTTTCCTACTATTTATCCTTTTTTCAAGAAAATGATACGCAAAAAAACAAAAAAGAGAATTCATTGGGATATACTTTCTTCAAATTCTGGAATTTAGGAACATGTAATGAAAGTTCAGAAACATTAAAAAATTCATCTTTCTTCATTTCGATTCACTACACATAATAAGTCTTCGAAACTTATTATTAATTTTTGGTTCACATAGAAGTCTTAGATCCAATGTTTATCAGATCCACCCATCCAATGTTACAAACCATTAGATCTAAGTAGCTTCATGTACGATTTCCTCAACACCTGCAAGGCAACAACATAACAACAAGAAAAATAGCAAAAGGGAAAGTTAACTTCCAGCGCAAGAAAGACACTGCAACATAATTCTTGAGGCTCACGTTACCCTACCCCACTATGAGACAAAATAGTAATAACGATCACTACTATCCGGATAGAGCACCGAAGGAGGTTGTGCCGGTGGAGAAGCGTAAAGTGTTGGCCGAAGAAAAGGAGACTGACGGTAAGGTGAATTTACAGGTGACCGGAGCAGTGAAGAGATCAACACGCTCGGTGACAATGGACTTGAGCGATACGGTGAGTTAGGAGATGCCAGCTCCGAAGCCCAAGTTGCAGTTTCCGGCCATTGTGGCCTTGAGTTTCCCGACATTGGCATGTTTATTGTTATCCTAGGGAGGGGAAAAAGATTCTGAATCCGGTGAAAAGTACTGTAAATTGCAGTCTGTTTTATGGTTGATAAATGGTGATCATACCTCTTATGGATTTCAATATACAGATCTGTCTCATCATATATTTCTTCCTTCAAGGTTCATAAAATGGTTAATTCAAAAACCATTCACAAGTACGTTAGGAAACCAACATTTCTAATTGAAAATTCAATATTATAGATAAATTACTTGTAGGAGTTCCTCCATGACATCTTCCAGAGTTATAATCCCAATGACTTCTTCATCTTCATCAGCAATACTATCAATGCATCGAACTGGACTCTGAAAATTAGTTTCGCTGGAGTTCATCACGGGAATGCTCAGAAAAACGTTGCCGTCTTTATTAGCTGCTCCTGAGAAGAAAAAAAGAGGACAATTTTTCTCATCTCGATAATTTATGATTTATACGATTTCTCATATATTCAAGTCTCTTAACCATTGATGCTCTTGTCATGGACAGGAGTGTTGGTATTGGTATAGTTCTTCTTAGTTCCAATGACAGCAGCCATGTGGCTTCGACCTGTTTGGAAGATGTTGAGGATGTCGTAGAGAGGTAAGTTCAAATTGACCCTGTTCGCAGAATTTTGGAAGAGAACCATTAAGCTATTTTGATCAGTCCAGCTTTGAAAGCAGGTTAGTTCATTGTTCAGAGAGTGTATATATGCATATTACCTGGGCATTCTTCTGATGGGGAGATCTCTGATCGGTGTCTCGTCTTCAGGACGGACTTTGATCAAGTTCTTGACCTATTCAAAAATCATATCAGAAGGCCAAGTGTTTGTCAAGATTACGGCTTGTAGTAAATTTGTTTCGTACTCACCAGAATAAATCCGATGATAACCCTGGGATTCGCAGAATAAATAGGGATTCGGCTATGGCCTTCACTTGCTATTAACCTCATTGTGTTTCTGTGAAGCACAAAGAGGAGGATAACAATAACGAACTAACTGATGATATATTGTCGAAAAGCAGATTGAAGAGGGATTCCAAGAGAAGAACATACTCGTCGAGCCTTGAATTTATATCGAGTGAAAAGACCTCAGAGAATGGGGTCATCGCGTCTTTGGCACTCTTCTGAGACATGTCCAGAGCTCCTGATATGATTGTGGTTTCATCTTGAGTCAGTTCCCCACCTTTCCCTGCCTAATTATCAGAACACAGATTCAGCTAACATACAGTTACTGCCAAAGAAATGATAGCAATCTCAAATTTTGAAAGGAACCTCGTTTCCATGCATATACACAAGTGACTTGAGCTCTGCTCGCGTTAAGAGGGTAGAATGTCGTCTTCCAAGCAGCAAATCGAGTAGCTAATGAATTGAAAGAAGAAAATGTTGAAGTATTCCTTTAGCTAGAGATGATTTCTGCTCATTTAGAATAAACTCAATTGATTTTAAGCTGATTGAGTTACCTTGCTGATTGGATAAGCTAATGGGAAGAAGACTATGATAATCAACCGAACCAAAACCGATAGCTTCGCCCCGATGCTCAGCCCGTATCGAGAGCATACAGCTTGAGGTAAAATCTGCGACGAGGGAAAAACACCGTAACAAAACAGTAAAAACTTGGGAAACGTTAATAATCAGATTAATGTTGCTCACAAAGCTAATACAAATTCCATTCACCTCGCCAAATGTAAGTATGAGAGTCACGGATATCAGAATAGAACCCCAAGCTGGAAGCAGGGAATCGACAAAGATCGGTAGAGCCTTTTGGATTTTATCATAAAAAATAGTCAGTAAATACAGAATCAGAAGTTAAAAAAGCCAAAGATATACGCAGAAGTATGATACCTCCATTGCCAAAGCATTGCCTATGAGGAGTGTACACAAGAGAAGATGTTGGTTTTTAACGAGAGGCAAGATCTTTTCTGACCATTTTGTTGCAATTTTTTTAAAATCGTGTTAGTATGAATATGAAGTGAAGTGATAAAGTATAAGGTGGTAATTGGCTTCATGAAACTGACCAGCGTTCTTGCGCTCGTTGGGTTCACCAGCTTTGGTCATGACCTCAAGCTCGACGAGACTAAGGGACATGAGCCCAAGAGTCAGACCAGACATTAAACCTGCGAAAGCCACTAGGGCAACACATATGACCAGATACACCCAGAACATAGTCTCACAGCAAGGAACATCATTTGCCGCCATTTCTCAAAGTTTTTAAGAAAGCGAAGAGTTGAGACTGAGAGAATGAGTTTGGGTATCATAGGAACATAAATAGTAGCCGAGGATGACATATTATACCAACTGCTACACCAGGAGACCAGAATCCAAGAACCACCATCCAAAATCTTAAATTAAAGAAGTAGGCTCATTCTGCAATCAGCCATTACTACGACACCCTTTAGTAAGGTGTGCGGACAACAACATGCAACAGGTCGCATTGAGAGCGAGTCACTTGATACCAAGAAAAGACCCAATGTTCTTGACTTCTTGTGGTCCTTTCCACCAAAACATGACATCATGAAAATCTTAAGTTTTTAAAGGCTCTGTAGAGAAACCATAACACAAGAGAGTAGAATCCAAAAGAGCAGGTGGTGGAGAAGGATTAAAAACCGTGATGATACCAAAAAGAGAGTGACGGATTCACTACAGAAACAAACAAAGGTAGGTCTAGTAAGGGTATAATAATAAAATCTGTAAGGGTCAAGATAACAAATGACCTCAAAGAAGAAAAGCCTAAAGAGGGTTCAGAAAACACACATCTGAAAGAAGCTCTTATAAAAATTGGCCACTACATTATTCAAATTAAAATAAGCACATAACCAAAGATATATAATATATGGGAAGAAAATCACTATCTTCTTTCCATTTCTGCTAACAAATCCTCTATCTGAACTGAATCATCATTCCCCACTAGCAAATAATTTATTGGGTTGTCACTTTCCATGAACTACATAATGAAAAAGAGAAAACTAGCAACGTACCTATTAACTCTAGAATTTGATGGCCGGCAGTTTTTTCAATCTCATACGAAAATTCATGTAACAAAAGACCCATCAAGAAACAACACTGGAACCTTGATCATAAATTTCGACGAATTGAACAAAAAAATATTGTGCCTCTGTTTAGTACCTTTGGACTCCACAAGACGGACGCAATAGTGTCCGATAATATCGAAGAGTCTCTTTCAATCAAATTCTTTAAAGCCCTTTCTGGGATACGTCAATCATCTGGATGTTTGTGATACACAAATTTAGGAGTCTCTTTCAATTACAAACACTATATAACAACCATCGAGAGATGATGAAGTATATCCCAGAAAAGCTTTAAAGCTTCTTGACCATGTCCTCTTATAGCGATAGATGGTATTCAGATATAACCTTCTGTTAAAAAAAAAACTATTTTTGGTTTTAAATTTTATCTGTAAAAATCGAAAAAAGGCTAAAGGCCTAAAACTCTTTAATGAAATTTCTTATTTACAGATCCAACCACCCTAAATGGATCAATCCATACCCAAACCCAGAAAATTCGGATCCAACTCTCCCTCTTTAACCCGACAACTCCCTCGACAGTTTTAAAAAAAAAAACACAAATCCGCCCATCTTCTAACTCTTCTTCTAGTACAACCAAGGATAACTCTTCGTAACTCGAAATCTAATTCCAAGGTAAATCTGAATCTAATTCCTTTATTCAAATCCAAGTATACATTTTGCAATTTTGATTAGAATTCGCATCGAATTTAGGTTAAAATGCTTAACCGATTTCACGAAGTTATAATGTTGGGTTGTTTGGTTTTTCGAAGATCAATGGCGCGCACGAAGAACCCAAATTATGTTGGTGATTCGCCTCCAGGACAACGCGAAGTCCCTGATGGTTCGAATGACACTGAGTCGCATGTAAATGACCCAGAAAAAACTGTGTCGTACTCCAGCCATTCAAAGGTATGTCTTAATACTGTGGCCAACTAAGTGCAAATTAGTATAACTTGCTAGTTTTTGTAACTTAGTAATCGGTTAAATAAGTAGTGTACCTTAGTAAATCTTGGTATAACTTGTTAGTTTTTCTAAATTGAATTCGGAAACAAAATGGGTAACTTAGTAAATGTTGTTATTACTTGTTAGTTTTGTAGCTCAAATTCTGTGAAACAAACGGGATAACTTAGTATATATTGGTATAACTTGTTAGTTTTCTAGCTCAAATTCTGTG